TCCTACCTCAAAATGCCTCCCCAGTAATTATTTTCTTCATCTAGCCATTGCTTAGACATTCTTAATAGGTGTTCTGAAACACAGACACTTCACTCTAAATTATACCCACATGGAAATACACAGGCATATAAGTAGGCCAAATTATACAGAAGAACTTTTAGGGGGTGGAGCATGAGGACCCTTCTAACTGCCCATGAGTGCTCGCGTGTCTTTAATAGATAGCTTGGGTTTCTCATCAAGGAGGCCACTCATGTCTACGTAAGTTGTCTGTGCGCATGCCCAAGATTTCCATGCTCTTTACATTGAGTTGTAATCCCTAGTGAGGCTGCAACATTTGGTCATCATCAGAAAGGGCTGCAATTCCTCCTCCTCCTTCTGCAGAGTAAACCTTGAGTAGCATCACCCTGTGGAGAGGTGCCACCAGCAGTTGTGGTATAGCACTGGGCTGGTGATGGACAGTTTTGTGCAGGTACGAAGGAAATTGATTTTCCTCATTGCTGGGGTGATAGTAAGTTGAAAAGAAACATTAAGCACTAGTCATGCTCTCCCATCATCTTGTAACAAATTTCTAAAGTGAATTGGAGAGAGCCAACGTCCCCAGGCTCAGAACAATGCACAGAGGAGACACTAAGCACATTTTGTTGGTTGTTGGATGTGCCACATAGTCCCCACAAAGAGGAAAAAGCAGAGAGTGATGAAAGATAGGCCAAGTACTCACTCCCACACAAGAGTCCTTCTCCTTCCCTCCTACTTGATTTTGACATGTTCAGAAAATGTAGTTCAAGAAATCAATTAAAATTTCTTAAATAGACTTTCTAGCCAGGAACCATGGTGGTATAGTGAGTGGTTAAGCCAACACCTGTTCTATAGGAGAGAGACTCTGCTTCTGTCAAGGTTACAGCTTAGAAACTATCAAGTGGTGACAAGTTCGAATTGAAAAGATGACGAAGCGTAACCTGGCTAATCTAATCATGAGTTGGAACAATGAATACTGTCTTAAGACATAATTTGATCCTAGTGAACAACAAATATCCCCCAAATAAAAAGGTGATGAGATATGTGCTTTTGTCTATTGAAAGAGATGATAAGTTTGTGCTTCTTGCCAATGTTCTAAATGATTGGATTGGGAAGACCTAATAATTGAATTTTTATATATTGCAAAATTTGGCACTTGGTGTACTTTTACTGATTTTGATAATTGTAGTCATTGAGGTCTTTCCTAGTAAAGAGTCTTTTCATTTTTGTCAAAGCTGTTTTATTCTTTTTTGCCTCACACTCCATTTACCATTTCAGAAGAATTTTAGAGCTACAAATTCAGCCTTTAATGCCAACTACTTGGAGAATGTACAATTTCCTGCTGCAGCATTTAAAAAAAAAAGATACTTTCTGAGACACAGCAATGCTATATAAAGGACTTACCAGTCTAGAAGAAAAATCTAAGGCAAAATTACAGAAACTGTTGAGGATTTATCTGTTGTACATTTTGACTTGATCATTTCAGACAAGTCTTTAACATAAATTCTGTTCCAGCTGACAATGTCTCATGCAAGTTGGTACTGGACCGTGCCATCCAAAATGTGTTTTCTCTCAAATTTCTGAGAATGTGGAAACAGCAATAAGTAGTTTTAAAATCTTCCCATAAGTGTACACAGAACAAAGACAGGGAAACCCCACCTTTACAGATGACAGTATAACCAGACCAGGTGGCAAGGTATCCCAGGAAGCCTAAAGGGGAAGAGAACAAACTGAGGACAGTTACAAGTTCCATGTGGTGTCTGAAAGCAAGATGACATCGGATGGACTCAGGCACAGGGAATACTAAAATTGCTAAAATCTTCAGATGATTGGGAAGCAGTATAGGTCAATACAAGACCAGCAAGTGGATTTTGGAGACTATTTCCTCCTCAAATCTGAGAAGTACAGTGCGTGCACCCACGGTAATGTCTGAGGAGGTCTATACAGTCAAGGCCGATGAGTCATGTATAGCTCCTTTCTGAGAAAGGATGCTCAGATGGAAAAGAAAGTACTGGGAAGGGAATTAAAATTGATCAGGATAGACAGTGAAGTCAACAGAATAAAGTTCCAGATAAAAATGACAGAATGAATCCCAGAAATAATTTTAACGCTGTATGATAATAACTAGAAATTAAAAACCATGAAATTAGAAAAGATATCCGGATCCATTGTCCTATCCTAAAAGATGAAGAAAACCTAGTTTGGCTTAAATAGGATCAGCAACAAAAAAATCAGGTAAACCCAATACAAAACCACAACATGAGAGCAGAAAATAAGAGTAAAATAAGCTCCCTTCAACCATTGAAATGATGTCAGAAATATGTGTCCACATAGTTGATAAAAGTAGAGAAATGATTCTAATTCAAAAGGAAATTCTCAATATTTTCTAAAAGTTTCATATAAAAGAGCATGTCACAAATCTGAATACTCAACCCATAAGGACCAACACTGAAATTTATTCTTATAAAACTTACCTTTAAGGACTTTACAGAAAAAGCATTTGCCGACTTTCACACAAAAATATACAGGTTACTTGCTGAGCGAAGAATCAGATACTTATCAGAGTCTCTGACAGTCATATTTCATAAAAAGAGAAAATTGAGTAACATGAACATATTTCAGAGCGTGTAGGAAAATAACCAAGTTGACTAAAAACATTAGCCCACAGACACACTGTTATGGGTATGCAGTAACTCAGAGAATATTATTCCTATCAGCCTATCATTCATGTATATTTATTATAATTTATATCAATGACCTTCTTTCCTAGAAAAATGGAAGTTGAATGTGCATATGTGTTCCTACTCATACCTTTTAAATTATGGAATAAGCTATTAAGTATTTTTCAGTTTATCTATACAATAAGGGAAATATGCATGGAAATAAGCAGAGATAGTAGGTAGGCTTAAGTAAACACATTTGTTTTGGAGGGTTTACTTAGAAACTAAATCAATGTTTTAATTTTACAACCTATTTAGACTAAAAGAATTCATCTCTAAAATAAAACAATAAACTCAGAATAAACCAAATGAGCCTGAATGTGTGGCTAGTTGGCGTTGAAACGAAATGAAGAGAAGTCGCTTCGGAATAGTAATTTGATGGTAGATTCCTGGTGGAATATGCCTTAGGGACAAAAGAAACAGGGACATTTTTTTAAAGGATTGAAAAATTGTAATCTTTCAGCACTCATATTAGTGCTCCAAGTGTTGGTATTGTTCTTCTGAAGTATTTATTATACGTGTATTATGAGATGAAAGGAGTCAATGGTTAAAGCTCTTGACCTCTAACCGGGAAGCCAGCATTTCCCACGTCCTGGCTGCTCCATATGAGAAAGATGACGGTCGACTTCTGAAATAGTGCAGCTTAGGAAGCCCTCATAGAGCGTTTACTCTCGGTCGTGGTTACCAGGAGTCGGAACTGACTCAATGGCAACAATAAAAAGGGAAATCATGAGATAAAGAAAATGGGAATGGACATAAAATAAGGCTATCATTGAAACACGTTGTAGGAGAGAAATGAAATAGAGAATATGGAATAAGATACAGATTTGTGAGAGAAGCTGTGATCTTGAGTTTTGTATTTCAAATATCAGTATGAATGTGTGAGGTAGTTTGTTTGTTTTTTTAAACAAATAAGTATTATGTTCCCTAATTAGAACAAAACAAAAAACAAACCTCTGTCATGAAGTTGATTCCAACTCATAGCAGCCCTATCGAATCGTGGCGAGCTGCCCCTTTGGGTTCCGAGGTTTGAAATCTGTGGGTGCAGAGAGCCTCCTCATTCTCTTGCAGAGGGAGGAGGGGGCTGGAACACATGACCTTGAAACATCAAATACGTTTATATCCATACGCTCAAAATGTATTTACAGTCAAGCGAACAGACACAAACACGAACTGCCTTCTGTTGGAAGATGGTAAACCAAATAAAACAGTTGAAGTCCCTTCAGCTATCAGGCTACTGTGGTGCAAAGATTCATTTCATTCTCAGCTACTAGTTTGAATCCACCGAGAGGCCCAAGAACCTCTGGCGGAGCCGTGCTACTGTGTGGCACACAGGGCACCCATGTGTTGGAGGGACTCAAAGCAGCAGGCTTGCTTTTACCCTTGATTCTATTTGGGCTTTGGTGTGCTTCCTTTGGTCTACTGTGAATGTTTAAAATGATCTGTGATATGCAGTTAAAAATATTTTCCCCAAATAAATTCTACAGGACAGGCGAAGGCTGAATAAACCCAAAGATGTCCGGGTGTTATTGTAAGGTGTCTTTCCATAGCTAACCTGTGTATAACAGCATACAATACCGCCTGGTCCTGCTCTGTCCTCACAGCTGTTGCGGTTGGAGTCCATTGCTGCAGCCATTTTGTCACTCCGTCTGTTGAGGGTCTTCTTTTTATTCCCCGACCCTCCACCAAGCATGGTGTCCTTCTTCAGTGGCTGGTCTCTCCTGATAAAATGTCCAGAATATATGAGATGAAGTTTTGCCATCATTTCCTCTAAGGAGTTTCTGGCAAGACTTCCATCAAAACAGATTTGCTTGTTCTTCTAGCAGCCTACGGTACTTTCAATATCCTTTGCAACACTGTAATTAAATGCATCAATTCTAACACAGTCCTGCGAATTCAGTGTCCAACTTTCACATGAATAAGATGGCGATGAGAATGCACGGCTTGGGTCAGGCACACCTTATTGCTCAAAGTGACATCTTTGTTCATTAGCACTTTAAATACATTTGCAGCAGATTAGCCCAATGAAATTTATGTTTCAATTTCTTGACTGCTGCTTTCATGAGCATTGTTGTAGATCCAAGTAAAATGAAACCCTTGGTTGCTTAATTTGTTCTTCAGCTATCAGAGTGTTTGTTTATGGAAATCTTTTCCCCAGTATGATGATCTCTTGTCACAAATGCTAAAATGCTCATTGTTTAACCTTTTCTGAATAATCCATCAACTGAATGTATGTGCCTGAAACATATTTCCTGTTTCTTCTAGGATTGTGGAAAAGGGATACTACAGTGAACGAGATGCCGCAGATGCTGTTAAACAAATCCTGGAGGCAGTTGCTGTAAGTCTGTAGTAACAGCAATAGTGTAACTCTTAGTAAGAGTTACTAAGTGTGTCCTTTTCACAGAATAATCCCCTGAGAAGTATATGTCTTTGAGAAGCCATCAAATAGGCAGTAAAAGAGTGTAGAATCGTTGGTAGAACAGGTGTTGAAAATACCTGTTACATTTACTGTTCATGACTATTTATTTTGAGCTATGAAATTTGTAATCCTATGCAATGGCCACAATTCTGCAAAAATAATCTTCATTCCACCTGTATGAAACCAAACCGCTGTGTCTTTAACTGCTCCTGTTCTCTTTCTAGTTTCTTGAGTTTCTTTTTTTGCTGTTTGATTTTTCCCCCCAATTTGGTAGGGACGTGCAGGAAGGTTGAGTGTGATAAATATAGACCTTGGCACATAGAGATTATTGATTTTCTTTCAAGACCAGAAATGAGTAAATCTGAAAGAAAAACTGAGAGGTAGCAGCTTTCTATTTTAAAGGGAAAAAGCCTAAGTTAATAATTTTCACTGAACTCTGAATTTTTAAATCCCAGGATAGAAGCTAACTCAAATATATTTAATATATGAAGCTTGTTTGAATTGAATTTATTAGGAATTATTTGTCTAGATGAAAGAGTTCACTGATTAAAACTATCCAGTATATTTAAAGGTGTCTAAAACATGCTAGGACATATTGATGATTCATTTATCTAATCTAAAGCCAGAACAAATTGCTCTTTAAACAAACAGGACAGGACCCAAGGGGGGATGTTTATCAGAATCAGATGAAGAGACACATTAATAAAATATGCCCAGGATTAAGATGTATTCTATTATTCAAAGTCTGTTACCCAACTAACATCATTATTCAGTATCTTGAGAAACCAACCATAATGACAGAAGCCCATGTTCCTACCAGTTGCACCCAGAGTCAAGACAATAAAGAAGCAATGAAGGCATAGAGGGAGGAAGGGAGAGAAGAGGGAGGAGCAAAGAGAAAGAGAAGCAGATAGGCAGGGGGACCAGCAAGGCCATGCCACCTGATTTTATTGTTATCAAGACTGAATTCACTTGGCTTAATTGAATAATTATATATTTCTTCTGGTAGAGCTTTTCCCCCTTCGGGCAGGGGTCTTTTTGCTAAGACCGGCAGGGGTGGAATTGAAATGGGGGTGAATGACAGGTAGAGAAAGGACGCCATGAAATTTTGCTCAAAATACTCAACACAGCTCCTGGTTATGTGAATATTACATATCAAGTTTACCTTCTCACTGTGCCACAGATAACACCTCCATTGCACATTTTCATCATGGACAACGTGTTTGACATCCCTGGCATCCTAGTCTTGTGGTCTTGGGAAAGGTTTTTAATTCTTCAAATCCCATCTCTCTATACATCTGCCTTCTCAACGGTCCAGGAATGTAACCCTGCTCCCCATTGTGCTATGACTATTTCCACCCTTTGAAATAGTATTCTTCTAGTTGTTTCTAACCCCTAGCATTCAAGATGTAAGTCTAGGACACTCTTTTGCAAACTGTATCTTCATTTTGTCACGCTGAGTTTAACAATGGCAATTTTATGCCTTTCTTAAATACCCATCTTTAAAGCTAATCTCTCATTACTGTTCACCATATATCAGCTATTTAAATAAACTTGGAGATAATGAACAATCAGACAGGCAGCTGGTATAGGAGTTAAATAAGCTTATGGAGTGAATTAAACCTTATTTTAAAATGCAATAGCCTTCAAAGTAGTTGTTCTGAGCACTTCTATTTTTCACTGGTATACTCTAAAGGCCAGTTTTGCACAAGACACAAAATACACGCAGCCACCAGTCTATTGTAAGCGTCCCGAGGTCTATGAAGAAGCAGGACATCATAAAACAGGCAGGGCTGCTTCATTTCCTATCACTGCCAGTTTCTGCTCACTCTCTCCCAACCAACTTTTGTGTATGTGTGTTTTCTTTTTATTTATCATTTTACTCAGGGCTCTGACAGATGTCATAACATTCCATAGTTCATTCACAGTAAGCAGTATTGTATGATTGGTACCACAATCAGATTCAAAACATTTTATTTCTTCTTAAACTCCTTGATATCAGCTCCACTTCTCCCCTCCCTTTCCCCAAGGAACCCTTATTTATTTTTCCCTGTAATAGATTCGTTTTACCATGTCTTACACAATCCAATACATCCATTCACATATAATTCTGTTGTTCAATCAAGTGGGTTATACTGTCCCTGGTCCATAAGGTGGTGGTTATGGTAACCCTTACCTTCCTGAATGTATATGTGCCTTAGTTTCCTGGGGCTCCTGGAACAATTTACCACAAGGTGGGAGACCAAAACCAACAAGTACATGTGCTCACAGTTCTGATGGCTAGAAATCCAAAATCAGGTGTCAGCAGCTCCATGGCTTTCTACCAGTGGGGGAAGAGGATTCCTTGTCTCTGCCAGTTTTGATAGCCCTAGGTGGTTCTTGGTTTGAGGCAGTATCATTCCAATCTCTGCCTGTCTTTCCATGATCATCTGTCCCTGATGTCTGTCTCTCTGTGTCTCTTCTCCACTTTGTATAAAGACACCTGCTGTGTGCGTCTGGATCCGTCTTACTACAATATGACTTCGAGTTGACTTAGGAACTTGCTAACAGATTACATCAGGGTTATGGATTCAACATATATCATTGTGGAGGGAGACAAGTTCACCCATAATATTCAATTATGGCAAAATTTGAATATGACTAAACAGATGCAAGGATCAGTTAATTTCAACTTCAAATTTCAAAATAGAAGCTACATTTAGCTCACCTCGGGCCAGGTGTCCTCACTTAGTTCACTTGATTTTGAATAGGGTGGGGTTTGGGTCTTATAAATGGACCTGTTAGGCCTAGACCAGAATTGGTGGTAAGGGGAAATGGGTTTTGGGGTTTTCCTATGAGCAAGGTAGAAACAACAAAAGACATCTCTTTTACTATCTTCTTTTCCACAGGTACTATCTTTTCATGTTCTTCTCCATTCTCGAATTTTCATTTTATTCTAGACTTTTGCATTTGCGTTGAGTGGCAGTCTGTTGTTCATCATGAAAGCATATTTAGTTTTGAATATAATTTCATGTTGATGGATGCCTTTGTTGTTTATTATGTAAGAATTACCTTTATGGAAGATCTTTTTCTATGACCAACTTTAGTCAATCCTCATTTCCACATTCCCATCTAGGAAATCAAAACTGGCTGGTTTACCGTAACCGGCTGCTCCGGATTCTTTCATCCACTGACGGAACTCTTACTTTGCTTCCTCGGTCTTCTCCGTCTTGTCAATGATACGCCACCATTAACTCACTGCTTGCTAAGAGCTTAGAACTCACTGTTGATTTATTTCCTTTGCATTGTAATCATACCATCAACAAGTCCTGTCAGTCTACCGCCAGATGATAACTTGATTTGATCAGTTCTCGTCATTGTCACCGAGCAACCACCCAAGTTCAAGCCGTCATCCCTTACTTCTCAGACGACTACAACTCCTTCTAACAGGCCGGCATACTTCCACTATCTAAAATACAGTTTCTTCACAATAACCAAAATCATTTTGTAAATCATAAATCAATTCCACTATTTCTA